GGCGCACCAGGCGTACCTGGGCGAATGCCCCCCTGGTCACAGCCGTTAAGTGGTGGTCGAATGACAGCTGTGGATCCAGGAGGACTCCCAAGTTGGTTTATGATTTTATGAACTTTTTTGTGGCAGCTGTTAAGCAGACAGTAATTCTGTGCTCAATTATGGTCGTACATTGAGGACTACCTATATGAATTAAATGCTAAGTTAGTTGGATTTAAATCTGGGGGAGCAAAGGAAATAGTGGTAAGATGTAGCAGCTAGTCTTTCTGAAGAGCATTGGTCCCAGCAAATAAAAAGCAAATAGAAAATGTGGCTTGCAATGCATTCAATATTGTCATTGTACAGTTGAAAAAAATGGATTGGTTAGAAGTTGCATTAAAAATTTAAATCCAAATTTAAATATCCTGCAGTTCTTTGGTTAAGACTTTTATTATCAATGTACTTTATGTGCATCCAATTCATAGTAAAAATCGTATTAGTCTGTCACTGTGAAAAAAATTTTTTTTAATCTACTGTATTGCAAAGTAAGCAGTAAAAAGAATAATAGCGTCTTTTTAAAGCAAAATAATCACTGAAATTAGAACAATGAAATAATGAGCAGAGCTGCTTTAACAGTCTTGGTACAGTATTTTATTTCCTCTCTTTCTTCTTTTTCATAAACATTTTACATGTTGTCTAGTAGGATAAATGGAGATTTTATGAGGGCTTCATGCAATAACAATACTCCTAGGGAGCTCACATTCAAATATCAGAATATATAGAATTTTTACTGAATTTATAGTACTGTAATACACAAATGACCAGATGTTTTATTATAAATGTATATCTTAATGCATATTTTTATGAATGTATACAGTATGTATGGGTGTGTTGATGCCCCCCAGAGTCACCCTGTGTGAGTTGGGCAGTCATATAGATATGTTTAATAAATAAATGCAATAAATATAATGATTGAAGCATTTGTATACATAGATTCTAGTCTGACTTTGCCTTCTTTCGGTGGTCTGATCTGTTTAGCAAAAGTCTCTAGTCAAAGATATTTGGCATGCTCTTCAAATGATAAAAACATGCCTGAGGAGTTTCACATGGGGACATACACATGCACATACAAAAACATACACACACACACACACACGGAAATTATTTTATTGAACAAAACTCAAGCAAAGGGGGGAAAAAAATCTCTTTCTCAGAGCTTCCTGATGATAGTGTAAAGCTGAGTATCCCAGAATTTCACATTATGCAACATGTCAGGCCTCGTGCCAGGACTTTGTTTAAGAAGGGTGTGAAATGAATTGACCAACAAGCTAGTGATGCCAAATGTTAACGATGATGTCACTGTTAATCTACCTCATGAATAATCCCGGATCCTGGCACAGCTGTACAGTACACTTCAAGTCTTATTATTAACCTACATGCTACATTGCCAGGACATATTTTTGGTTAATTATTAGAAAACCAGCAGAGTATGCCTTCTTGTATGACTAGTTACACCAATTCTGCAGGCACCTGCATTTTTTTGAGAATAGCCTGCTTTCTACAACCTAATTTTGTAGAAGTGCTATAAACGGCATCAAAGTAGCACCTGGCCTTAGAAATGGTCTGACTTCTGCAGTATGCTGAACCAAGAGACCTGATACATTTTGGACCTCTTCCTAAGCTCTTTTTCTGTTGGCCTCTCCATATTACTTGTTTTTATTTCAGTTTATAAAATGATAAAATGCTTAAAATAAAAAGTTGATTAATTCAGTAATTAGTGTTGTTAAAATTAGGACCATTCTGAAAATTAAGAAGTCAAAAATTATTTCAGAAGTTTTTACATTCCAACTTGTCATTTGCTGACTGGTCACTCATTACTACATTGTTGTTGTTGTTGTTATTATTATTATTATTATTATTATACAATTGTA